CGTTGTTATTTATCCATAGCCCCTGTTTCCATTTCAGTTTTTTGTGACTTATATTTTTTAAAAATTATTCATAATGGCGGCATCAGGATGACCAATATATACCCCACCAAAGACTTTGGCTTTAACGTCAATGCAAGATTAAAAGAATAATTTAAACTTTGTGCGACAGTTAGTTCTACTATGGAGGAAAAACTATTTGCAAAATGTGGACATCCGTAAATACATTCGGATAAAAATACCTAGATGAATGTACTGATCGCCTGATTCACAAAGCTACATTATACCGATCCAGCAGTTCAAGTTTAACATGCGCAGCAAATCTTCATGGATTTATTCAAGTTGTACCTGTGTATTCAGCGTATACTGAGTTTACGACATCAGTGACTGCTGAAAAAGAACGAAATTAATTTACCACCGCTTTGGTAGCACCAGGAATTTATCTACAAATATGAGAGCACAAGGACAAGTGTCGCACTAAAAATACACGCACTGTGAGCAAAGCGTTCAACAAATTTTAAATGCTGATCTAAGAATTCTGCAAAAAATACTTTTCAATTTTAGACTTTCATATGCAGTGACACGACATTATAGGGTTAAAATAGAATTAATGTGCTCCAATCAAACCAGAATCGAATTGAATTATTTCGAATTATAGTCCATTGGGTCACTCCGTAAGTTTTACCAGATAGCATTTTGTAGAATTTGAAAACATGGCGGTGGTTTTATTTATTGATAGAAGGTAGTGACCTATAAGTGGTCATTGCTACAGTGGAGAACATGATATCATTTTCGCTTATACGACCACGTACATTTCTCCGAAGGCAGCAAACTCCAGTGGCCATCCGAATGTCATCCACAATGAGTCTCCCGCCTAGCCCGTAAGCCAAAAGCATGATAGCACCGTAGGACGCAGCCCTAATCAGCACAAACTTAGTGCTGAACTATGTAGGTAACGAGTTACCATGCGCATTTTTATAATAGTGCGTCAAACATGCTAAGATTTGATGAAGTGATGGGACGGAAGATCAGCGCCACCCGACGTCTCTGTTTGCCAATAAGTTATTCAGAACACAGACCATCCATGGGTTTCCTCAAACTGCGAATAAGCAGGCTATGGAAAGCATTTACAAGCCAATAATTTGGCTTTTACGAAAAGTGCTGACGAGGGAAAAAGACCGAAAACATTGCACAAAAGGGTGAAGTGGGTTTTTAGCACGCTAATTCATGTCGTTTACTTTTCAGACAGAGCAGACAAGCCATTATTGTCTCCGGCCTCGAACAACCCCCAGGAAGTCGGATATCGCTTCGGATTTATTCGTTTCTTCTCCTGAGGAGTATGGTTGACTCGATTTTTCATACCCATCAGTACTGTAACCGCATCGATTAGGTTGTCGTTCGGGTTCCCATACTTTGCTTAGCTACCTTAAGCAACATTGTGCTCGATAGGCAACCACACGGTAGACTTTCTGGATACCAGCAAGACCGGTTCGTCAGCACGTCAATTAACCACCAGAAAGTAAAGCATGATAGTAGCGCGTTCTTGAGTAACCGAACTCATACTAGTGCTATGGTCACCATTCTTATTGATTCTCAGTGTTCGAAGAAAACAGGAATAAGTTTTAGAGGAATAGAACTGAGTTTAGTAGCGTCCTTCGGTAAGTTTGTAAATTACGTCTAGTATGTTCCTCCAAGTTTCGGCACTGAAAATCGTTTGAGTATTCGGTTTCAGTGACCAGCTAAATGGCACTACTGGTTGTGCTTGCTACTCTAATAGTTACGGACCTATTCTGATCCAACTCTACGTAGCTCAAAGGTCAAGCCGATGCTGATTAAAATTGCTCGAACGGTATTGTCTGGTGCAAGGAAGCAGAATTCGAAATCTGATCGTTGCTTGAAATGGTTTAAGCTCACGTTGGTGGCGAGTTCAAGCGAGATAATTCGTCTGGTACGTGCCTAGAGAACACATTGAGATTAGTAAACGCAAACACCGTGATTACTTGTGAGTACCGGATGAATTCAAGTATCCATAAACGAATAAGTAATGAAGCGTTGATACCATATTCATTTCAACTGGGATAATCCAAGTTTTTCCGTGTGTTCTTAAATTTTTTTCAGTTTGCCATATCTCTAATGTGTGGGTTTATTCATGAACAAATGTTTACCCAGTCGAACCCACTAATTCCTTGGAAGGTAAGTTCCTCAGAATGGATAGTCTTGGAGTTTGGAGGGTGGTTTTGAAGATGCTTTCCATTCGCCTCAAAATCCTTGCTTGCTGATAAGGTCGCCGGTGTGCTGCGCCAGACTTATTCATATAGTGTTATTCAATTCCGCCTGTTTTTTCGCTGAGCCCGGTTGAGAAGTACACCCAAATGCACCACATTCAGTTCCACACCTAAAACCCCTTTTAATACTCACAAACAGACTTGATTGTGGTTTCGCGTAGCAGACTGCAATACCTCCACAGCTTGCTTATAATCAATTGTTACCACCCGGTATTGCATAACACTTCAAGGGGGTGAGTTGCTAATCACGCGTCGCCACTGTAGTCTTTCATACATGATTCACATTTTAGAAATACAAATGAGAAAGGCCAATCGTGTACCGTTCCGTCGCCACAAAATTAAATAAGAGAAAACTAATCATGAACAGATTTCAAAAACCGGAATGACATTATAGAAGTTCGGATTGGTGTCACTTCTGGTATCCGATGCGTCCGAAACAACAAAAGATGATCACCTGTAGATTGCGTGATTAAGACATTGCGTGGAGTGACAAACTAGAATACTCCACGGTAAGTCGGTGGCTTGGGTGGTCATATGATCAAGTAGAGGTAGTTGATTTCAAGCATTTCGACATTTCCAGCGAGCTATCGAGAAGAATGTTGGTCTGTGCTCTTTAAAATATAAAAAATTTCAAAATGCTAACTACAGTCCGTGCCACACAGACAACTGAATTACCCTTCATTCATCGTCATCAGGCTTTTAAGGACGTGTGTGTTCTACTATGCGAACAGTTTTTGAGATAACTAATCATCCTGGGGAATCAACCACGGCCCGGAATTTTTCGCCCATTTTGCGGATAAGTGTATACTATCAAGCAACAATGTGGAGCGAAAATGTACGAAGCAGTATAAAACGGTACAAATATTTACACTGATGTGACGTTTCCCTCACAAATTATATGAAAATTATTTGCGTCTGCACACCAAATCTGAAGAACAGTTATCAAAGCTTCTGGTTGTTGGTTAGAAACCGAATTCTTGTGTTTTTCAGTTGGTTAAGTAGTATCCGCTTACGGCTGTTTGCAATTTCTGCTTGTTCCCCATCTTGTTTCCCCAGGTAACCTTTTCCTATTCCAGATTCATCCCGGACATAAAAAGACTGCTGAAGGAACAGCAAACTCACACATGAAGTAAGTGCAATTCTGCTAACATCCCTTAAAGACTGCAGCACTCTAGCGTCAACATTTGTTCAAGATTCTTTCAAATGACACACCGCAAGGGTACTACATTATGCAACAACCTGAATTCTGCAGGAGAGGTCTCTCTTAGAGCCTTTGACCAGCCGTTAGCAAATAACAGCTGTCACTTCTTGAGTTCGGCCATAATTCAATAAACCAATTGCTATGAATAGATCACTTCACGTAAGTGTCACTCGCTGAATGATTCTCGCAACGAGATGAAGAAAAAGTAGCTAGATATCATCTAGTGTGCAGTTTGCACAGACTTGGCACTTGTCAGGTAGCTGCAATCTCTTTGACTTCAGGTAATTGGTTAGGAGACGGCCAGGTTGGTTAAGTTTTACTTGCTTCACAAGCCAGTAGTGAAAATTCATTTCCAATCGCATACATATATCCCTGGAAAATGTGGTATTATCGCATATCTAGCCAGATAACCCTGAGTAGTGTGAATATCTGCCAGAAGAAAGATGATGGCAGAAAGACGATAGATCGTTGAGGAGTTGAAAATCATAGGAAATCTTAGTTGGGGACGTTCGCCTTTGGGGCGACTTGAACCTGGCTACTTTTGACTGTACCTAATTTATGACAATTGTCGCAGCTTGAATAGCGTTCAGGGCTCGAAGGCTTGTTCTTCCATAGAGTATGTTTGTTGCCAAACCATTTGCTCTACTTTCTTGCAGATATAATGGGTTCTTTAGAAGTGTTCCAGAGTTTCTCTAAGGGACCTTCACAAACTAAAATACTGAGCTTTCAAAGTATTGAATCGTCTTCAAATCAAATAAAACGGCGTAATAGAGAAACAGGTTCGATGTCTTAAGATTAAAAGATAAAAGAATGAAGGCCTGAAATCTTTAAATGATCAAATGGGTTTTGCAAAACCAACATGGAATACTGAAGTACTGATGCGAAAGAATGAACCAATGTTGAAACCATCAAACAGACAATCCGAGATTGCTTAAAACATGAGCCTAAAATAAATGGAAAGGGACAACCCAGAGAAAAGCACAAATGGGCGAAAATATAAACGCGAAATCCACGGAAGAAAAAAAGCAAAACGCTGAATGGGACATGAATGGTAACATTTGATCACCGGAAAATATCAGATTTCAAGGTTCAAAAACTAAATTAAATTAAAAATTATGCGAGTGATAAGAATATACAAAATTCCGAAGGAAATTGGCAAAATGAGGTAGTGTGGACAAAAGGAACAGATACCACGTTCTTCGCTTGGGCTAGTCCGACAAGAGTCTGCAAAAGAGTGATTCAACAGGCTCCTCCAGAAAGTCACGAAACAATATTCGGATTGGTTCTTTCCTGATAGCCCGAAGTATTTTGAGTGTAGTGTTCACTTGTGTTGTGGTCAACGCACTGAAACATGTTGAACTGAGCGAGCTTGTTTTCAAGTCATGCAGGATGGCTGTTTCCGTATTATGGAACAGTTCTTCTTTAGAAGCATCTTCGTGAACTCCTGGAAGAAAAAGACGGCGAGAAGCGGGCTGATCGATGGCGCATTCAAGGGACCTCTATAATTAAATATGCCATGCAGAACAAAGGAAGACTAAACCTTTCTCCTTAATTTGGCAAATTGTGAGTCAACAAGATGGAATTAAAAACAGCAACACATTAATGGTCTGTTTTCGCTGGACTGGAAGAGGCCTGGTATTTACCCCATTCATAAAAAAGTTAATAAATCATTTGTTGCTGAATGTTAGATCCTTCTGATACCACCTGGAAGATTATGGTTGGGTTATTCTGCAAGACTCGTGGGAAGCTGTTGTGTAAATTCACTGAGAATTCTCAGGTTTTGAAAATGAATTGATGTTGACTCACAGAAATGCATTCGTTATTGAGAAAACAGGTTAAAAACACATTAGTGCCTCATCCAATGACCCCAGCAACCCAACGGGATCAAATGATAAACGTTTGCTCACACAGTTCTATGGTCAACTATCAGAAAACAGTAAACCTGGAGGCCAACACATGTTACTGACCGCTAAGTTCAACCGTAAGCCATAAGCTATGCATAGATGTACCTATCACTAGGATTTATAGCGATTGCGCGAGTACGTCTAGGTATGGAGAAACTTCGCAGGCGGATGAAAGAATCAATAGCCTGGTACTTAGCAGACTTTGTAAGAGGGTTTTGAAATGTTAAAACTTTCCAACTCAGTATACACAAAGGAATTCACCGTGTAGGCTGGATAAAGGGATAACTTCCAAGTACAAGTATCATCCAGACAGAAGGGTCTCAAGGAGTGGACTTCCGCGTATGAAATGGAACGAAAGTTAATTTCTGTCAGGTGTTCATCGCTGTCGTTATTTCTATGACTTATTTGTTCTGTTTAGCTGTTTTGAAGAAGTTTTAAGCCACCATAATGTAAATTGCGTCACTTGTGACGAGCTGAGTACATCCGCACTCAGGGATCAAATCTTTCCAGTTGACAAAACGGTGAAATGAGTACGAAAATGTTAGCGATAAAAGTAATACCGTATCCTGAAGAAAAATCTCCGATGTCATCGTCTTGGTTGCTGTAAGTAATAATAGCTAAAAACGCATTTCCAAATGACATTAGAAGGAATTAAATACAAGTATAAACCTTGTGCTGAAGGTGGCCAGTTAGGATAAAATTAACTATCATGGTTCATTTACCGAGAGAAAGTTTTGCACAGATCGTTTTACTTTCACTTTCCATAATCTTTAGGGTCATATTATTATCTCAAGTATGACATCCTCAGTTTTTTTATTGCTAATTTGAGTAGTGTTACATAGTTTGCTTTCAGCCCAACGGTCTCCTTTAGAAAAATGAAGCCATACTGTTGACGGAAACTTGAGGACTGCGCCTACCTGATGAGTCCCAAGAAGGGCAAAACCGGTCGAAGAGATTTCAGCAACCTGTGAATAGTTTTCTTTATGAAAAATGAAGCCACTTGTGCCTAAGATAACTGAGACATTCACATCAACACAATGATAATATGTCCTAACTCATTTGAATTATATTTATGAGTCACAACTGATAATATCTTGGGAGACACGTAAACGTTATCATTCAGAATCCAGAAGGCCCGTTACTAGAAAACACAACAGAAATCTCACTAACCTGAGAGTAGTAGGGTCATTCGAATGAGGACAAAAACGGTGTCTTTCAACTCCATTCCCCAAATTGCGTTCTGTAGAAGATGCAGATACCTGACGGTGTCTTCAAGTTGAAGAGTTTCGTACTTTGAAAGTTCCGTTATTCTCTGGTTGCTTTGTTCACTCTCGGATCGGATGGCCCTTTGACTTTCTGATAGGGCGTCGAATAAGTGCTCAAGTTTATATCGTGCGAAGCTGACAATGTCAAGATGTTCTTCGAGGGCAAAAATGGCAAACAACTGATGCCAGCTCTCTTGAACTAGGCGCAATCTGGTTTCACTGGACTTATTTCTTAGCTCTAACATAAGTGCACTTGAACAACGCAGAACAACTTGCTGGGGGAACCTACCTTCAATGGACGATCCAACAACACTCATCCTTGAAAAACACTCCAGAAAGAGTTCTTCAGGCTTTTTCAAAAGATGAACCAGCTTACCTATCCAGCGGCGCACGCTGCAATGCAAATGATGCGCAATAGTATCGTGTGGCTCTTCCAATATTTTTTTGGAAGTTATAGCGGAATCCTTATTCACTGCACACCGCATCGCTAGCATCGGTGGACAATGTTTCATTGGTTTATACAGCCCCGTACTGTCTCTGGTTTTGACATGCTTATGACCGTTTTCTTGTCGGTGCGGTGTGGTGCATCCAGGAATAACCTGAAGCTCTCCTGCTACATTTTTGGTGAGGTTCGAATCCTGAAGCGAGAGAACATTCACAAGTGCTTGTTGCGGCGTCAGGAAACTGGGTATGGTCTGATCAGCTTGTGACATATATTGAGTTGAGTTGAAAATTAATTCGTGTAGCTTCTCATCCTTTAATGTGTCCCTATTTAACCTGATAGGTGGGGAGGTGCTTGGAGAATCCTTTGAAGCTTCGCTAGGAGCAAAGTTACTGGAACATGGGGATGTGTCATGGACAGTTCTTCGTACAATAGTTTCAGGAGAAAATTGTAGATATTGCTCTTTGAAAGGGATACTGGGCGATGTTTGTTTTGGAATCAGTCGAGGAGAAGTGCTTCCACTGCTGGATGGTGATGCTGGCTGAATTATTTTTGGGTGACAGGGCAGGTGCGGCAGTTGTTGTTTTGCTAAGCTGTTCGAAAATTTTATGTCTCTTTTTGATGACAACATTGTTAGGTTGAGCGGGGACATCAGTAAGTGTACAAAATGTTGCAACAAAAGTTCATATCCTTGTGGACTTTGACGGCCACTTTGGGTTTCCTTGTTGTTTTCAGGAGTAAACTTTACTTTGACAGAGTTTTTATCCATTTGCTGACTCTTTTGTTTATAATCCGCGAACAAATGTTGATCTGAAATGATGGAAGGTGGGTATGTGTGCAGTGGCTCACTGTAGTGAGAACGCGATCCAAAAAGCTCATTCGCTTGCCGCTTTGAATGTGACAGATCAAGTGGTTGCTCCGAGTTCAGATCCATTCCGCTGCAAGATAGCCGAACACGTGAACGGTTGTTCAGATTATGCTCTGGATAACACGAAGGTCTTTGGAACTTCTGAGGTAGCTTTTGTGGATCAACAAGTCGCTCGGTCCGTGGTATCAGTGAATGCACTGCTGGTCCTTCAAATACTGGCAGTGATTCTACGCGTGGTATCTTGTGACCATGTTTTTTGCTTGCAAGGAGCCTGGTTTTATGCGTGGAAGTTAAGGAGCAATCGACTGTTTGCGTTCGAATGATAGATGCCTTACTCTGAATTTCATCTAGACATGTAAATGCAACATTGTGTTTCCTAACTGGTTTCAACCTTTTTCTCAGTCTAGCTTGTTGGGGAACTGGGTCAAGGGGTGCGCACTTTGGTGCATCTCTGAAAGACAGCAGAAAAAGTTGACTCCTCAATGAGGCCGTATGCAGGTTTTCTCTTCCCGAGAGAAGATCATATAAAATGGTGCCTTTTAACTTCTGTCCTTGTTCATAGGGCTTATTCGCCACATCAGAAGGTCTAAATGGACGTTTGTTGCATAATTCAGCCGTCTTGTGCTCTCTTGATTCCTCCAATTCGACGAATGAACGTTTTCTGTCCCCGCCATTTTCTCTCAAGTTTGCTGGCTCAAGGATACTTTCCGGCTGGTTTTCCAAGCACAGTTTGTCGTTTTTATGCTCCCCGTTGGTGATGGCTAGGGCCTCGGCAGCCAACCTAAAAAGAAGTGGGAGAATGAAGCATACATCCGTTTTTCATGTTTTTACCTCTTTGAAAGGGAAAACACCGTTATCCTGTCTTTAAAGCAGTAAACAGGACATTGCCTGTTGGGGATCGGCAGCCAACCTAAAAAGAAGTGGGAGAATAAAACATACATCCGTTTTTTCATGTTTTTACCTCTTTGAAAGAGAAAACACCGTTATCCTGTCTTTAAAACAGTAAACAGGACATTGCCTGTTGGGGATTCGACAAATTTAGTGCATCGTTGGTTTCGAACTGAATTGTGCCGCAGTTAATACTTCTATGGTTCATAAGGACAAAACGCCATTTTGAGTGGCATGATAAAATTACGTGTGGGTAATATAAATCCAAACTAAATGTAGTTTCTGTAATGTTTGGACTGAAACGTATTACGCCCGTAATCCGTAGTCTGTTCTGCAAGTCTAACATGAGGTACTATGGGAGCATGAAGCGTCTCCGCCTGATTTTTAAATTTATCCCCATGCTGTTATTGAAGAAGCCACTCTCCCAAAAACGTATGACCTTTTATAATTTATACCATCACAGCATGGCATACCTTGCCGAAAGATTTTTGAGCAAATTTTAGCATCGCGGGAGTTGGTGCTATTGTATAATCGCACTAGTGTGTTGGGTAGCCGGTGGCCATCTCCTACAAGCATTTTCGTGGTTAACATTTCTGTGCTGTAATCCTTTCTCAAAAACAAAACTGGAAGAAAAATGAACTCACTGAATCACGGGGCATTAGTGCAGTGTGTCGAAAGCGTTTTTTCCATTGGAGGAAAATCACGTGGTTTGTGAGTGCGACGCTACTTTTGTTTGAATGCTAACAACCGGAACAATAAGTAAATAAGGGAGAAGTACATAATATTTGAACAGGTAAATTTTGTTCCACTAATGACAGGATTCAAACAAACAAAAAGGAGATGAACGCAAGGATATCTGTTTCGACAGCTGCCCAACTTGATCTAAATGTGTCTGTCTTCCTGGGTTACAACACGATAATTACGTTTGCAAAAGCTGCATCAGGCCACTATTCTGTAAGTTCTTCAGTTTAGATTCTTATTTGCGAAATAAGAGATCATTTTACAATTTCAGAAGACCAGGTGTCCACGTTCCCATTTTACCAGATCAGGATTTGGTATATTCAGTGTGTCTGTTGTATATATAAACATTATGTTAGAAACATTTTAATTTTAATTTGTTTCCGCCAAAATTTCTGTTCTGCAGCACAACTGGCTAGGCAGTCTGTCATATTTTGGAGAAGTCCACGTCACCAGACTCTTGAAACCTCGGATGAATAACACATGGATTAGTTAATTGTGGCGAGGCGCAGAACAATCAACCCACATAGGGATAATTTTAGGTGCCTTTCTTCGTGGTCCCATACTGGGCCCTAACATTTCATGTGAACGGAAACACCGATGGAATTCTGAAAGGATAACTCAAAACATGATGCGATTATGAACATCTAGATATTCAGGGTATAGCCTAGTAGTACTTACAGTTCAGGCAAACATAACAGGTCTCTGTGCAAAGCCCATCTTTTTAGGATGGGTTGTATGCCAGAAAGAGAACACTAGTACGAGAAAAGAGATAGTTTGCACGAGGCCTCATGATGATAAGCTGGTGGAGACTTTTGTGATCAAAAGTGCACATTATGACAAACCCTAAAATCGAGTAAGTAAACACTCTCACATCGTAGTTAGCAAATTACCACATCCACTGGGCGGTCCGCTCAGACTGTCCGAGAAACCAGACCCATGTACCAATTTATGACCCAAGCCCTACGTACTATTTGACGACGCAGATCCTGGATTTTAGTTGCCCCACCCTGCTCATGACAAGATGGCAGGGTTTACCACTGAGCTAGATTTCAAGCCATTAGACGGCCCGACCAAAACGTCACCAATATTCTCATTTAACCAGTCCAAGAATATCTAAGAAACTCACTGAAAATGATCGTACCACAGACCTTTGACCCTCAGAAATGACCTCAGAAACAGTTTTAAAATTCAGTGAACCGTACAGGCTTATGGATATTTTCTAAGCGCGAGGATTGCATGCATCAGAGTTCAACTTATGCTGGAAAATGTCGAAAACTGCGTGTCACATTAGTAAATTTCAAAGCTGCTCGTACTAAATAAAAACTGAGGACTGATTATAGATAGGTACTGTTTCTAGATCTTTTCCAGTGATCCACTTGCTACTCAAAAGACCAACTACACGTGGCCAACGTAGGTCGTGTGCATAGTAATCCACCAGTGACCACCCCCAGTTCTTATTGTGCAGCAGTTTAGCTCCACCTGAAGGTAACGATGATAGCGAACTCGTGTAGAGGCGTCTAGCGTATGCAATACACATCACTTGGTTGTTTTTGGTTACAAGACATACTATACTACAGTGCAACCAGTTGAAGTTCCTTCATCGAACTCAAACACCTAGTGATTTTCTTATGGTCCGGCAGAACCAAACGATCCCATTGACTGAGGGGAGGAGCCTGAGTGCATAGAAAGTTGGGTCAATCAACTCTGCCAACAAGAAATCAGCAAGTCACTTATGAAGCTGGGTGAACGGGTCAACAGCCACCGTTTCAACAACGAAGAAACCAGCATCAAAGCGGATTACATGAGCCTCTGTCAATGACCACTTGACTTAATGAGAATAAACATTCCAGTACACTATTTCCGACAAAGTGTTCGGCGAGCCTAGAACTTGAATGGGCCGTCATCATATAAATAGGGAGAGAGGGAAAGGGAGACGAAATCCGTGTCTACAAGAAGAGATTTCGTTCTGGAGACATCTCTCTGAACCTTTGCGGAAAAGATTTAGACATTATAAAATTTTCCTTTTTCGTTTATTACAAATATGATGTGACAGCGGATCAAATTCAGATTACCATTAAAGGTTTGACTATCGTGTTCCATTTTTTTTATTTTATACATATTGACAATCAGGTACCGTACACTGAAGGTCTGATAAAAATCTAGACAACTTTTACTTCGTGGGTTTTCTTCACTTTGTTGGGGCCAGGCTTCTAAGTCATGAAGCGGCGTGATTAAATTCAGTTACCTGTTTCGGAAGCAGTAGGAAACATATCAAACGTGCTCTTCGAATAATCACCACAAGGGTGGAAGCTATCAGAATTGGTATTCGTGAGTGAACGTCCGGTTGACCTTCACAGTTGCACCGGTGTACTATCTGGTAGCTCTGATGATCCCTGATGTGTGGTAAGTCCCTCCGTTTATCTATCCACCACATGTCAATGTAAGCACTCAACCACAGCAGATAGAACAGAATTCGCTGAGCTAGTCTTCTGATCCGTAGCTTAAGAAAACAATGCGTGTCAAACAATAAGGGGCCTGACTCATTGGCTGTCACCAGACTTTACAGACGAGAAGCTAACCAGTTTACCGACTGTTTGCTCACCACGAATTCTGACAGGCCGTTCCAGACAGGTTCGGTATTTCGGTCAGGCTTTTGAGGTCAAGGGACGACAGATGTTGTCTAATCTGATGACTGATGGTCCAATAACGGCGGTATCCGGCATTCTGTTTTCGTCTTCTCGTTTGAGAAAGCGCCCAACCCTAGGCTATCACAGTTTGCTTCCACGTACACTGAACGAGAAAATGTTTCGGTATTCGCAGCATGTTGCACAGTCATGATTTTCATCATCCTGTTTACCCACCAATTTAACAGCTGGTCTGTTCACGAATCAGACACAGCTTATCACACACAAGCCACTGGAGTACGCACTTCCACAGACAGAACCGAAGTTAGACATACTTGTCGGTTAGCCGGAACATGATGCTTCGACCCACCGCGACATTGTTTACTGTGGCTGGAACTGCAACAAACTGAGTTGTGAAACGCCGACAGGGTCATCCAGTTGTTGTTGTCCATTTATGAAGGCTAACAAGCTCATTGGGCGGTTGAAAATTTTCGAAAAGGGTTATTACGTTGATGGGGACGGAGCCTGAGGCCCCAGAATAAGAAACGTTCCTCCGACTGTGGTATCTTGAACGCGATGAATCAGGGATCTGGCACACATGGAGAGCACCTTGACCACAGTTTTTTCGTTTGGCGTGTGTGGCGTACTTGTTACTATCACAAAACTGACTTTCTAGAGATAACTGAATGCGATTCATAAAATTCTTCGAGTGATACTGTGGGTAAATCACATAATACAACAATCATGATTTTGTCAACAGTTAACCAGGCTGACATCATCGACACGGATGCCGATATCAACGGATCCTCCGTTGAGTTAAAAATAGACAAAGCTAGTACGTCCGTTTCACTGCAAGTCCAAGGAGGGCTGTGACTGAATTACGTGAGCTCAAGACCTCCTGCATGTCAACTTTTGGGAGTTTCGGCAAATTCGTCGAAAAGGCTTCTATGCCTTTTCTCAGATAGCCTACCGTTTCAGTGGGGGCGAGACGGCCCAAGTGGTTAGAGCGCGAATTTACTGACCGGAAGGTCCGTGGTTCGAATCCGACCTCCGCCACTCGACTTCCCCTGTCTAGGCTTGGGCAACCTGGCAGTATCCCAGCCCTCGTGCTTCCTTCAGGTGGCATGGCAGCTAGGCACCGAAAGGGTGCTACAGCTGAACGCTTTTACCGTTTCAGTGTGCTTCTCTTAACTAGTGTAGGGGGGAACAAGTTAAACACATAAAGTAGGAGTGGGTTTAGAAAATGGAACACACATTCACTTTGTCTAGATAGGTACTCACTAATGGTTGTGGGTTCTGGAGTTATACACTCATTTGCAAAATGGATTTGTGGTAACCACAAGTGGGTTGTCAAACAGTTTTAAGTAACCTTGGGAGTAGTGCTGGATAAAGGCGATTATTTTTGTTCTAATGGGGTTCTTTATTTTTGTAAACTTAGGTAAAAGTTCTCACTCAGGAAGGTGGTGATGTAACGGGGACTGTTCCTTATTCATGCCCACCAAAGGGGATTTAAAAGTAAGGATGTAG